TAATACTCCATTGTGTGTATGTACCATAGTTTGTTTATCCATTCATCTGTTGATGGGCATCTAGGTTGTTTCCATCTTTTTGCTATTGTGAACAGTGCTTCAGTGAATATAGATGTGCATATGTCTATTCGTGTGATGGCTGTTATTTCTCTAGGATATATTCGTAGGAGTGAGATTGCTCGATCCTACGGTATTTCTATTTCTAGCTTTCTAAGGAAGTGCCATATCATTTTCCAAGATAGTTGTATCATTTTGCATTCCCACAAACAATGCACGTACGAGTTCCGATCTCCTCACAGTCTCTCCAACATTTGTTATTTCCTGTGTTTTTGATTCGTGCCCATAGTGCCGGGGTGAGAAGGTATCTCATTGTGGTTTTAATTTGCATTTCTCTAACGGCTAATGATCGCGAGCATTTCCTCATGTGTCTGTTGGCTGCTTGAATGTCTTCTTTGGTGAAGTGTCTGTTCATTCCTTTGCCCTTTTCTAAATTGGATTATTTGACTTTTTGTTGTAGAGGTGTTGGATTTTCTTGTAGATTTTAGAGATAAGAACTTTGTCTGACTTGTAATGTCCAAAAAATGTTTTCCCAGTCTGTAGGTTCTCTTTTTACTCTTTTGGTGAAGTCTTTTGATGAGCATAGGTGTTTAATTTTTAGAAGACCACAGTAGTCTAGCTTATCTTCTGGGGTTTCTACGTTGTTGGTAATGCTTTGTATCCTGTTAATGCTGTGCAATAGGGCCTCTAGTGTTAATTCTATTTTTTCTTCTCTGAACTTTATAGTTTTGGGCTTTATATTTAGGTCTTTGATCCATTTTGAATTAGTTTTTGTACATGGTGTGAGGTATGAGTCCTGTTTCATCTTTTCTGCAGATGGATATCCAGTTTTGCCAGTACCATTTGTTAAAAAGACTGTCTTTTCCCCATCTGATGGACTTTGGGCCCTTGTCGAAGATCAGGTGACCATAGGTGGATGGATTAACATCTGAGTTCTCAATTCTATCCCATTGGTCAATGTATCTGTCGTTGTACCAGTACCAGGCTGTTTTGACTACTGTAGCTGTATAGTAGGTTTTGAGGTCAGGTAGTGCGAGTCCTCTTACTTTATTCTTCTTCAATACAGCTTTACTTATCCGGGGCTTCTTCTCTTTCCATATAAAGTTAATGATTAGTTTTTCCATCTCTTTAAAGAATGTTGTTGGTAATTGGATTGGGATTGCATTGTATTTGTAAATTGTTTTGGGTAGAATTGTCATTTTGACAGTATGAGTCTACCTATCCATGAACATGGTATGTTTTCCCCTTTCTGTAGATCTCTTTTGGTTTCTTGCAGTAGTGTTTTGTAGTTTTCATTGTATAGGTCTTTTACATCCTTGGTCAGATTTATTTCTAAGTATTTTATTTTTTTAGGGACTATTATAAATTGTTTTGTTTTCCTGATTTCCTTTTCATCGTTCTCTTTATTGGCGTATAGGAATCCAACTGATTTTTGTGTGTTTATCTCGTATCCTGCCACTCTGCTGAATCTTTCTATTATTTCCAGTAGTTTTCTCATGGAGTCTTTAGGGTTTTCTATGTATAGTACCATATCATCCACAAACAGGGACATTTAACTTCTTCATTACCTATTTGGATGCCCTTTATTTCTTTTTCTTGCCTTATTGCTCTAGCTAGGACTTCCAGCACAATGCTAAACAGGAGTGGAGATACAGGGCATCCTTGTCTTGTTCCTGTTCTCAAGAGGAATGTTTTCAGCCTCTCTACATTAAGAATAATGTTAGCTGTTGGTTTTGCATAGCTGCCCTTTAGTATGTTGAGAAATTTCCCTTCTATACCTATTTTTTGAGAGTTTTTATCAGGAATGGGTGTTGGACTTTGTCAAATGCCTTTTCTGCATCAATTGAGATGATCATGTGATTCTTT